CTACATATTAATCTAAGCCTGGCATTCAATCCTAGTGACCTACTTAGTATCTCATCCCCATAATTTATTCTTGGCAACATCCCTGACAAAATCAAGCTATGACCTCATTCCTTAAATGCCCTTATCAGTGTTTTGTACTTATCAATAAGCTCCTCAGATCCATCTTTCCTTACATCATTAGCCCTAACATGTACCACAAACTGCATTGCTACTAGCACCCTTAACTATCTCTCTGATTCTATCAGTTATATCTTGTACCCGTGCTCCTGGATAATATAAGCGTATTCTTTTGCTCGTATTTACTCCATACTACTCTATCTACATGCCTAACTATAGAGTCACCTACAACTATAACTTCCCTATCCTTTACACTATCATCCCTTGTGATCCCATTTGTTTCCCTTATCTGCTCCCCCTGGAATCGATTGCTTAATCTAAACCCAAGCTCATCTTTGCATCTAACTGCATTATCTTCCAAGCTTTTAGCCTTATTTCCTTTCTTAGCTCCCTTGAAATCTTGTTTACCAACTTTCGAGAATTAATATGGATTAAATGTAATACTAAATATACTTAATACATTTAATTTTGCCCCCCAGTGGCACAGCGGTATGTCTGCGGACTTACAACGCTAGAATCCGGGTTTCGATACCCGTGGTGGGCAGAGCACAGATAGCCCTTGTGTGGCTTTGTGCATAATTAAAAACAGTCAATCAAAACAAACATTTAATTTTTTAGCAAGAACACCTCATCCAAAACTAGCAAAGCAAATATTATTAAAACCCCAACTTTTCAAAATTCGTTCATTTTTGCATACAGACTTAGCGTAAATGAACAAGTCACTTTAGTAGTAATTAAAATGTTCTTTAATGTATCTTTAAAGGTTTGCCAGAAAACGGAAATTGTTTAGATTAGCATTCCAGTTCGTGTTTAACAAGAAATATTTTTTTTAATATCTATATATACAACTAGCAGATTATAATTTTCCGTTAGGGAGAGTTTATATCAAAATATCCCAAATAATGATGATAATAATAATTTAACGTTTTTCATTTTAAAAATATTTAAATATTCACTTTGATGATCACATGGAAAACATGTTTACAAATTTCAGTTTTGCTTGAAGTATACTTGTAAATTTGACAAGACGAATGTTTGTGGTTTACTTGTTGCTGTTTAGTTTAATGTCGCTCATTTAATGTGTAAACCTACCGAGATTACGTAATAATGTAAACCATTATAAAAGGACATCTAAACTTAATTGCTTACTAAACAAACTAATGTGTAAAGTTAACGCCACTCTCTGTGGCGTTCAATTTTATTTTATCTTAGTGGCATGTTAGCTACTAGATGGCAGCACCAGCCTCATGTATTCTAACATAATTTAACTAACTTAACTAATACATAAATGCACAAGGAAAATGCGAATAATCATCATCTGACGCACTGGGATGCAATGTATATGTTAATTATTTTTTTTAAAAAAAGCAATACATCTATCTAAAATGTATTAAAATTGTATTTTTTTCTGTTCTATTGTAGTAAACTATTTTATACCAATCAGTTAGCGAATTATTTCGCAAAAGTTTACTTATTTTTATTAGGGTTTTTAATGAAAACAAGCAGAGTATATCTTGTATTATATGTGGATATCTCTAGGACTAAACATTCCGTATTATTGAATGGCGTTAGTCAACTTTCTCCAGAATAGCATAGGTATCGTCCTGTATTGCTCTCACAATATTTCAGCTTTGTGAGCTTATTTGGGCGTTTTCTCGTGGCTGAAAAAAAACAATTATAACAGTAGTTCTTAAATGCCTTGATTCATAAAGAAAATTAAAATATTCAGTTTGAAGCTATCCACCCAAACCTGTATAAGATCCACATGCCTCGTAAGTTAAGATTTTTTTTTTTTTAATAATAATATTTAAGCGGGATTTGGGCATGAAGCTTATATAGATAGAGGTAAAATAGATGGATAAAATTATTAGCGAGTATTAATATCGATTTAAAGCCTACGACACATTTATGCAAATCATAATAAACGGCAGGAAAATACACACTAAACTACATTTTATTTGGGTTTTAATGAACCTGTTTTATGTACTGGCTGGAAGACTGAGTAATTGTCTCGTACTTTTCACTATCTGGATGGTTGGGTGAATGCGAGTAAGGTAGCGTGCCTGCGAGCACGTGAAACAACTGCAAAACTCATCTGGCTTTGTCTTTCGATACTTGTTTTTTTGTAGCATACAATAATATACCAACTCAGGAAACTAATTAAACTCTAAAGTTTAATCTTATACATGCTTCACCTTGCAAATGGCAGTACTAAAGTTTTCTTAACAATATTCCTGAAGAAACTATAGTAGTTGATTTAAATCCGATTTATATCGGATATCTCCAAACGTCTAGGTAACTTTTTTTTGTGTGGAGTTATATGAGAAAAGTATTATTTATAAAAGCTTTATATCAGTTTTTATCTCAGGATTATTTGCACTGTTCTTTAGCTTGAATGTTCTGGCGCAATGAAAGCCCGATTTTCAATCATCACGCACTCGCAAAGCTTCCTCTTTGTCATCTGAAATCAAAAACCAGGTGACGTTTTTCTTATGTTTGTAGATTTTCCTAGTTAGTTAGCTAGCATACACTGTTGAATCTACTCGGTAAGAGAGACAAGGCCCTTGTCCACATGGCGCCACTTACTCAGCTGTAGGCTATGTGACATAACGCTTTTGGCGTCAAAAAGACCGCGTTGATCCCATGGTGATTCTTTACAATAGCTTTAAATGATGTTCCTAAGTGGTACACGTGTATGTAATAGACACGTATGTACGTGTGATATGCACGCTCCTCAGGGACAGTAAATTGCTAACGCACAATTCCCCTCTTTTGTGCTTTTAAGCACGTTCACAATGTCTTTTTTTTTTCTAAACTGATGTGGTATCAGCTTTACTGTTACTGCCTTTTTTGCCATATAGGTAATTTAACTGTAGGAGGCTTTGACCAGTAGCGTCTTTTTTCACTGTGGGGAAACAATTCTTATGGCAATATGCCAAAAAATAAAACTAATGCAGCATTTTGACATTAGAAACCATAATAAATTAAGATTAAGGGAAAATATAAGAAAGTCCAATATATAATATATGTGTGTGTTTCTGCACAGTAGTTTCGAGGGTTCAGGGGTCTAACTTGCTCCATACGTAACCTTACCGTACGTAAATAAATATCAAAGAATTATGTCCTGTACCTCTTAACATGATAATTTAAAGCGAAACCAAAGCCTTCAACTGATCCCAACATCACTAGAGAGTTTTAATTAATTAATTTTAGTTAATATACTCATATGGGCATTTTTATGTCGTAAGTGTTTTATAGCGCCCGAAATATAATTAAAATGAGCATTAACAAAAATGTTTTCCGTTAATAACCACGTTTTCTCTATGTGATTGAATGATGTAATGACCTGTATTTATTGTCTATGATAAAGGTATACAATAGACCGGCTATGATGGAGTGGAAAAATATTTAATAAAGTTATCCTAATTATTGTATATATTTTTAGAAACTTGCCTCTTTCAAATATTTAATACATATGATGGTTGTCAAGTTTTAAATAAATGTATCGCTTGTTCTGTATGTAGTTTTACAGCGAGTTTTCAACATCAATTGGTTATCTGGGTTGACAAACATGTTTACATATTGTTTTCCGTATTTTACAGAATGTTATTAAAGCATCATTTTTTTTTCTGTTCATTTCTCCCCCTTCATGTCGTCTTTTCCGCAGTTCAACTAAGACAGGAGTGAGAACTGATATACAAGGACGTTCGACGTCTGTTTCCTTTACTTGTCTACGGCGCGATTTATCATCAATTTTAATAATCAAAAGCAGACGACATTTTTACGTTGAAGTACAAATTCTGTTATTTTTCACACGCAGAATTTTGTTACGCATTGAATAAACAATAAGATCCTATGGCCTACTACACTGTGGGATTAAGTGTTATCCTATGGCCTACTACACCGTGAAATGTTATCCTAAAATTAATTTGCGCAGACGCATGAGGAGTTTGTGGAGAAGATGATTGATGAAAAGAACATTTAATCTTAACATTTTTTATTTATTTATTTAATATGAATAACAATATATATTTAGTGCTTCAAATGAGGTATATTGAACAGGAATTGTTACAAGTATCGTTAATACAATATTAAACCACCATTTGTAAACAACAACAAAAAAATTCAATACGTCAGAAATTCAATAGGTTCTTGTCAAGGAAAGTTAATCACCAAAGAAGTTTTATTTTATGGATCGTAATCCCTCTTCCACTCCTGACTAGGTTAGATATAGGACACCGAAAGAAGAAGAAAAGTAAGTTATTACACCGAACGTAAAGCACGTTCACGATATTACACTTTTTTTTTATCTCTTACGTTCCAAACACAACCTTCTGTATTTCACATCCTCTTCTTTAGTCTTGAAACGAAGATACTTTCCTAGCAATATTTGTATCCCGATGTCCCTAGTTTGTCATACTTCTTTTATAAGCACTCTTTTTTAAAAAGAAAAAAACGTTCCAAACTTTATCAACATTTCCTTAGCGTTCAGAACCTGTGGTATTAACTGCACTTTTTGGCCACTTGTCACACTTCAGAGCCTGTGGTATTAACTGCACTTTCTGGCCACTTGTCACACTTCAGAACCTGTGGTATTAACTGCACTTTCTGGCCACTTGTCACACTTCAGAGCCTGTGGTATTAACTGCACTTTCTGGCCACTTGTCACACTTCAGAGCCTGTGGTATTAACTGCACTTTCTGGCCACTTGTCACACTTTTTGCACTGCCTGACGTAGCACGTTTGTAGTATCTAGTTTCGTTTGGTACTTGTTACTCCGCACTGTTTGCCTCCATTTTATTTAGTGTTTTATAAATCTTTATTTTCATCCATTGCATGCTTCTTCTCTCCTGAATCTGATATGCTACACATTTTTTCCATAGGAGTATTAAACCTTGTCCTCTACGTCCGCAGTACAAGTCTAGGTAAGTTGTTCCTTCAGTTTCTTCGTAAACTCTCTTATGTAAGTAACTCAAGACGTTTAATTTATTGTGTATCGTTAAATATATCCTCTGGTCCAGTGTAATTAAAAAATTAAAATGCTTGCTTCGGCAGTTTTTTGATGTATAGAATGTCTTTAGATGAATTAGTATTACAGAATATATTATGCATTTATGTTGCATATATTAACTTCATAATTTTATGTCACAATATCGTCTGGATATAATTATTCGAGTATTATTCAGGTGCATCATGTTTCACGGAAAACTGAAGAATTATCATTGTAACAAAAAGTTTAAAAAGTTATGATTGAAATTTGCTCATTCAACCTAAAAGTTATTCTTAACCCAAGTAGTTTGCTAACTCGGGAAAGACGTGTTTGACAACGGTGTGTGTGAGTGAGAAGGTTAGTTACGATTGCGAACGATGCCAATCACCACGTGTTTATTTTGTAAAAAAAAATCGCTCTTAAACTGATATTATTTTATCTTTTGTGATTTTGAGGAAAAGTTTTTGTATTTAGATCTTAATTTAAAAACGTACTAAAAATGAAAATAATAGCAATAAAGAAGAGCACGGAGAGATTTGAATCAAACAAGGCTTGAAAAATAAAATGTTATCGGGGCTTACACCGTTATCCCTAACACAGCAAACACTGGATTTTGGAAGATTTGTGAGATGTATGTTCAGCAAGAAATAGAAAATAAGAGCCCAAAAGAAAGTTTTTAAATATCAAATGCAATACTATACATAAATCCTTCTTTGTCCATTTTGTGGAAGAAATCTACGATGTGCACGAGCTAATAATAACGTGGCCACGGCCGATACCCTGATCTTGACAGATCGGTGGAGGCGCAGGTCTGTGGCCGAAAATCGCAACTTGGGATTCAAATAAATGCAAGGTGCGCGCTCAGGTTCCACATAGCGGTTCGTCACCATATCGAACGCGTCACTGGCTAACTCTGCTAGTCCCAGGGATTGATATTCTTCCAAAAGAAAATCGCAGATATTTTACGTACCCTTAATCATAGCCACTAAAAGTCTTCCATAATCTTTCACATTGACTGACTGGTTTACATCAGCGACAAAACCCAATAGTTAATATAGTTTCTTTTTTCCTTATTTATTTACTATCCCTTTTATTTTTCCCTTTCGTCGCACCCTCCCATTGGCACAGCAGCATGTCTGTGGACTTGTACTGCTAGAAACTGGTTTTCGATACCAGTGGTGGGCAGAGCACAGCTAGCCCATTGTGTAGCTTTGTGCTTAACTACAAATAATCCAACAATCCCATTCTTTGCTCTTCTTTTTTCCCCCATTTTATACAACCCTCCCCTTTCTTTTTCACGACTCAAAATAATTACCGTATCTTTTGTACACTTACTCGAAAGAATATTTGTTCCTAAGAGCGACCCCTGAGAGCACAACCGTTAACTTTTCTACATGGGAGAAATCTCTGCTGAGTCCTAGGTCGAAGAGGCAGCTGGATGATTCTTGTGTATCTCTTGTTGACGTCGGTTTACATATCGTACCATCCACATACTGTCTAAAGGCAGAATCAGTACATGTTTACGACAGTTTATTTGTAAAAAAAAATGCTCCAAGAAAACGATCCGTCGGAAGGATTTTGGCAAGCACTTCATAAAAGCATACCTGCAGCGGAGTACAGCTGTTAAAACACAAGGATATCGTGATGAACACATATGTGCTGTAGAAAACAGAGCTACAAGCGAAATGATTTGGATGACTTTTGACACCATACTTTTTCAAGCCAACTTTTCGTACACGATGTTCTAACTTGTTCATTTACCTGTACAGGTAATGTTTTACATTACAACATGTAATCGTTATTGAGATAATTTTGTAACGTTCTTTAGTTAACCTGAGCAGATTGTGTTTCAGGGAACTTCTCCAGACAGCTGTAGTATTTGTTCTTTAACTTATGTTCGCTGTTTACTTCATATTGCTCTCAAACCCATGAATAACGACGCCCTACAATCATACACATTTTAATGTCTTTTTGCTTTTTTGCACTTATGAAAAGATTAACCGTGTCTATGCTTAAATTCCTTTTTCCTCAAGAGTTTGACTCCCAGTGGTTCATGGTGAGTCTAAATGCTTATAATGCAAAAAACCGGGATACCTGTGGTGGGCACAGCACAGACAGCCCATTTTGTAGCCTTGTGCTTAACAACAACTAAACCTCGAGTGTCCAGAAGCAAAGCTAGAGATTGTGAATATGTAGTGTACCTCGATAGATAGTTTGCGGATTTACAACGCTGAAATTCGGTATTCGATTCCCTGCAATGAACAAAGCAAAACTACCATATTGTGTAGCTTTGCGCCAAAAAACAACATATAACAATGTGTATACCTTATTTCTGTCCCTATTTCTGTGTGTTTCACCAAATTACTTTTGTAAAAAAAATCATAAAGTAAAAGTAGTTACTGAAAATAACTGTTATATTATGGAAATCGCTGAAGAGCTGAGAATGTTTAACTTGTTCAATAGAATAACTACATGGAACTCGGAAACAACAATTCATAAGACCACAAAGCGTATGTTTTCTTAATTCTTCTGTATGAAACTGTGATACATCCTACAAGTTGTATAAGCTTAATTCCTATACTTATCATATACAATGTATTAATGTAGTATGTCTGTGATTATTGTGTTAATCATGCCTGTCAGCCTTATATTAATATACGTCGATATTGTGTTAATCTGCCAATGTTATGTTACGGTGGTATCTGTCAGTATTGACCCCCAGTGGTTCAGTGGTAAGTCCAAAGACTTGTAACGCTAAAAATTGGGTTTCTATACTCGTGTTGGGCACAGCACAAATAGCTCATTGTGTAGCTTTGTGCTTACCAACGGACAAACATATAAACAAAAAAAAAAAACTGCCAGTATTGCGTTGATGTATAATGTGTCAGTCAGTCTCGTGTTAAAATAGTATGTGATATTATGTTAACCTAGTATAACTGTCAGTATCGTTAAAATCATAAATAATATTCAAAGTTAAACTGGTACACAATTAAAAACATTTTATTTAGGCCTATCTATGGCCTTCAAAAAGTTTGTTTACGTAACTGTGTACGAATCATACGTTCAGTTATTGTGAATTGGCGCTTGTTGTATTATTGCGTCATGTTACTAGAACCTTCTAAGTTTTCTCGTTGTTTTGATTGAGTATTACTGCGTCATAATATCTGGTAGTGTGTAGAACGTTCTAGGCCTCGGTCAAGCTATAAATACGCGTACAAACTATAATTCAAGTTAGTAAGATAGATAAAGTTAGATAGATAGCTGGATCGTGTGGGTTTAACCATAGAGAGAGAGTATAATGGTGTGTTTTAAAGTGAAATTATCACAGATGATATTGTAACAACAGAATAGAGAAGAAGAATAAATCTTGTCAATTGTGTTCTAAAGTAACTGAACCGGCTTATGCTGATTTTAACGAAAAAAGACGATTATTTAAAGCTTTGGATACAACTGTAGTAATTAACTGTCTAACGAACATTTGTATATACATTTGACTTCTTTTAATACACTATTTTAAAAAAGTAGACTGTGTGTGTTTGTTTATTGTTGAAATTGTTCGCCAAAATGTCAGACACCTACTGTAAAGAATCCGGTCCATACATACATAAAAACCTGACAGTTGTATATATCTCAGGTCTGTGTTAATGTAGTGGAGCTATCGGCATTATGTTGGTGTGTTATGTAGCATATCAGTTAGTACTGTATGAATGTTATAAACATAGTACACAACAATGCTGATAGAGTACTGTATTAACACAGTACTAACTGATATACAAATCTATCAGCATTGTGTACTGGTGCACTATGTAGTATACCTGTCAGTACTGTGTTCATGTGGTATACATAGTACACAACAATGCTGATAGACTGCCTGTATATCTGTCAGTACTGTGTTAATGTAGTATACTCATTTCTGTGTTAGTGTAGTATGGTTGTCAATACTGTTTTAATGTAGTGTATCTGTCAATACTGTTTTAATGTAGTATGTTAGTCCTAGGTTATTACAGTATGTATTCTGACCTCAAGTGCATGCTTGTATTGTCACAAGTAACTGATCTATATTTCTATTTCTTCACGTGCTATGGATATTATAGTAATTACGTTAAAGAGGCTTAAGAAATGCATAAATACTTGACGAATGCCTGAGCATCATGTACTGTAGTTCTTGAAGCTGTGTTTAATTTGATTAGTTTGTCATCCGTTTGTTTGTTAATTGTTTACTTTGTCATTTTACATGCTAACAAGAAACAAAGCGAATAATCTATTGATAACAAATATTCTACCACAGTATAGTACCCAATAATGAATCACAGAATTATTACACTAATTATCCACTCTTCCATCTTAATATAGTACCCAATAATGAATCACAGAATTATTACACCAAGTATCCACTCTTCCATCTTAATGTAGTACTAATAATGAATCAAACAGAATTATTACACTAAGTATCCACTCTTCCATCTTAATATAGTACCCAATAATGAATCAAACAGAATTATTACACTAATTATCCACTCTTCCATCTTAATATAGTACCCAATAATGAATCACAGAATTATTACACCAAGTATCCACTCTTCCATCTTAATATAGTACCCAATAATGAATCACAGAATTATTACACCAAGTATCCACTCTTCCATCTTAATATAGTACCCAATAAT